GGCCTGCTTCTGTTCAGTTTCTCTGATTGGATAAGCTCCAGTTGTCATGTTTACAGAAAAGCTCCACCATAAGAGCAAAGGGTAAGATAAGCCTACAAAAGGTTTGGATGAAACGGCAAACAAGGAATCCAGGTTAACCTGCTCGATCATGTCCAAGAGAAAATAAAAAATTAAAATATCTGATCTGCTGACATCACTTTGCTCGGTGTGCACGTTGAAGTCAAGATAAGATGAGATGATAAGATGAACTTTACTGTCCCAAACAATAAAGTCCCAAATTTTAGGGACAGACAGTTATTTCTACAGCTTATACCAATACTTAAAGAAGAGCATTGCTAATACTGCAGACTTATTACTTGTTTTACTGTTCTGGGTATAATAAGCCTCAACTTGGATTCGGTCACAATTTCTGTGAAGCAGAATCTTCTTTTCCAGCTTAACTAATACGCATCTACTGGTGGAGACATTCTGGTTGACTCATACATATGTTTACATATCATTCTCACACATGTCGTCTAAATAAGTAGAACTTCCCTGAACAGATGATAACATTAAGGATATTTGGTCTGGGACCTTCTGCTGGTTGGATCTCATTTCTGTATAACAATGTTGTTAATATTTTTATTGACCACTTTGAGTTATAAATATCAATATGCATCATGTGAACTTGAATGGCTAAGTAAAAATGGGCAAGAATGTCATATTTACCCAAGGAAACAGGAATTCATTAATTACCAAATAAAAAATGAATAAGTTTAAAAACTGATTTACAGTCGGTTACAGATATTTTATAGGAATTATTGAATATGTGTACTTAAATTAGTCTGAGATAAAGCTAATGTGGCAAAACCAAGTTTACTTTAAGACTTTTAACATATATACTAAGGACACTGACACTTAAGGGCAAATTACACTAAGCTACTTGAATTGGGTCTACAGTGCAAAACTGCTCACAAAACGTGAAGTAAATGGGAATTAAAAGAACATCGAGAGGAAACTGGAGAATGAGAAACTGCTTCACAAAATGGAGGTGAATATATATATATATATATATATATATATATATATATATATATTTTTTTTTTTTTAAGTAATTTGGCCAATGTGTCTCAGAGTCATAAATGTCACAACACATTTCATCACAAAGTCGAAGCTGCAAATAATCCCTTAGTTACATCCTAGTTTCCCCATATGTGCACATACCTCTTAAGTACATTTGTTACGGCTTCATATAAAATAGTTTCAGTTGTCAGGTAAGCAAACCCAGAACCCCAGGTGCCTCCCCCTTCCTAACAATCCTGGCATGGCTTTTAATTAACTGGCATTTTGCCTGCCATACCAGGCTTTTAATGATTGGGAGGCCTTAGCTGGAGGGACTCACTTTTCTGGGCAAATGTTGCACTAAAGCATAACTCGCTTCTGTAATAAACTTGCTACTTTGTATTTTAGGAGTTCCTTTCCCCATCAACAGCATCTGCTGTGCTGTGCTTGTTGCCAGCGTCACTTCAGTGATCATTGCTAAGGGCTCAATCACAGACTACGTTACGCATAAATCAGACATTCAAACTTCAAACTCTGTAGTAATAAGCAGCTTGGTTCCCGGAGGCCTGGTGCTTCAAGGTGGAAATGGTACATAATTTAGAAAGCATGTCCGTAGGTGCCGTTATACATATGCGTAAATGTTTGTTCACCTTTTTTGTTTTAGAAAATAAGATCCAAATGAGTGCATGAGCTTAAAAGATTGTGAACTCGGAAGCCTCTAAAATGACCTTGGCAAAGAGGACAAAAGGACCTTATCTCTTCTCAAAGTTTGCTTTCTCAAACTGATTGTTTTTTTCCAAATAAACAAAAAAAAGAACTGTGCAAAAGTTCTGCAACCGACTCCACAAATGTATGTCTGAGACAACTTTGACGTCAATGTATTGCATTATCAAAAGAGACGACTAAACAAATCAAAATAGAAAAAAAAAAAAACGACTGTCTACATTTTCCTGGTTTCACTTGGCGATATGAGACTGAATGAGTTTTGGATCGCACGGAAATCCCCAACACCCTCCCCCCTTACGATCTGGGCTTCTACTATGAGAACATGCAGCAAAATAAACGAGCGGAGGCTCCTCCGTCTGTAAAGCAGTGAGCCAGGATCATAAGTGCTGCCAGGCAAAGACAAGTAAACAGTCCTGAGAAACTAAACACGGCCTTTAGTTTTGTTGTTTTTTTCTAAGCACACTCAATAACAAGGGAAAGCTAGGTTGTTGTTTTCTTTTGTTTGAACATGAAGTGTTAGTGTTTCATGTCTTCTGCATTAAGGTGCAATTAATCTGCTACTAGAACTGTAGCTAGAACTGACAGTTCACATTGCAATGGACTCAAAGAAAATTGGTCTCACAAAGAGAAACTGTGCTGGCAAAGAAAAACCTGCTGATATACGAGTATGGCTCTACAAGCTCCAACACGATCTGCAAAGAGCAGCTCTGGGAAAAGTCAAATGTTGCTGCAACTTTCTTGATAATTTATGAACACTTCTCTTTAAAACAGGCTCTCTCAAAGCGGGCTTCTACTCACTATTATTTAGAGACACCCAATTCTTGCCGTATGTTGTATCTAGAGGGTAAAGAATGAAGCACTCCTTAGTTAATTTGGCACCAACATTGCAGTAAAGTACACAAACCATCGACGAGATGTACATCTTGTCCTCGGCTTTTAAGTAACACTTAATTCAGGTGAGTAATTGAAGAACAGAGACATTTGCACATCAAACAAGATGATTTGTCAGGCCAAAGGAGGGAGTGGAAGTCAGCATCCAAACATCCTCCCAATGAACAAACACAAATCTCTCTGGGAGACAGCAAAGACAATATTTAAACGGGTTTCCTTTTTTTCTCTTCTCATCTACAATCCCAGTCAAATCGGACTTATTTGGATAGATGCAAGAGATTGGAATCTGTTTATTTTTTCTGGATCAATTCTGATCAGTGATGGGAAGGATATAGGAGTTTTTTTGTTTTTTTTTTCAATTTATTGAATGCATGAAGTCTAATTTTAAGTCGAAACCCATCAACCCTGTGGTGTACTTTAAAAAAATGAACTCCTACGTTTTGGGACAAATAAGTTAATGGAAATATTACGACAATTTTGTAATCTATGTCTATGTCTATCATGCACATTTCTTTTCTTTCATGTCTTATAGACTAATTCCTGTAATAGAAGCCAAGATAAAATGCACAAAAGTGTGAGAAGCAGCTTTGCTGATGATCAGTAAGTATAATTAGCAATAACATTTTAGAAGAAATTCCTTCTCATCACAAATGTTGTAAGGTAATTTTCAAAAAGTTTAGTGTCAGTGATTGTACAACAAAAAATATTAAGAAATGTAGTTGTGGACCTGAGAAAATGATCATCCAATTGTATAAAATGCTCAGAAGAATTAACAAGCAGAAATTCTTTCTTTAGAAGTGAAGAAATCCTCTTAAAAACTCGCGTGAAAGCACCATAAATGTTTCTTCAATAAATAAGACAAGATGTTTGATTTTAATGTTCAAATACAACACTTTAAAAAGACCCATGTTACTTTCTGTCAAGCACGTTGGTGAACGTGAGATGATTAGGAGATAATCTGCAGATAAAAGAACTGAGCATTTTGGAGGCATCGAGTCAAACAGCCTCTTCTATACATTTAAGTATTTTAGATCAACTATGACCAGAGCAACCTGTAAATGATGAATGGCAACATTCCTTCTCTAAAGCACAGCCCATCCTCAGAAGGACAACGGCAGCATGCTCTGCAAAAACTCAAACATCAGTTTTTATCTTATCCAACTGCAGTGCGACTCCTGCAGGGTTCTCCTTTAGCAATTCTCCCATGGAAAACTGGAGTGGCTAAATGCCGCTGTGGTGTGTGATTACACACAAGAGGGCTGAATGGCAGAAAGGGCAGAGTGACAGCAGTGTTGTTGTGATCTGAAACCCTCCATCTGTGAACCTACAAGTTGAGTTTAACCTCTACAGCAAGCTCTAACTAACTTCAATAGTAGATCATTTGTCCATCCATACCCTCTACCTGATTTTTTTAATAGTAAGTGGGGTTTATTAGTTAATTTAAAAAATGTTTACTTGGATACCTTAATTAGAGATCCACAGAAAAAGCTTTGCTGGATCTGGTTTTCTTTGCCGTCTTGTCTGTAGATTCCAATTTTAACCCAACCAGACGCAGTTTCATGATGACAGCAGTTCTCACAAGCTTAATTTATGTAAACTCTGTTTTAGTGGGATAACTAAATGAAACAACCGTTGATCATATAATTAAAATTCAAAGCAGGGTTGGTAATGGGGGTAGTACAGTTTAATCCAACAGTAAATGAGGCGATTCCAAAATTATCCCCATTTTTTTTTTTTTTATCACAGTGTAGCTATGTGTCTAGACTTTAACAAAGTGGTATTTGTTGATGCTTTTAAAAGCCAAAAAAAAAGAGGGAATTTAGCTTTGATATATTTAATTTGGCTGTGCTTTATTAATCTACATATAATATACAAGCAAATGAAGATAAAAAAATAAAAAAACCTTTCAGTTATATTTTAAAGTGCACAATCAGGGACTTTGTGACCAATTTCAGCAGAAACTCTAAAATTCTAACCCTCTGATGATAAAAAACAAACAAACAAACAAACAAACAATAAGGTACCTTTTGTCTACTTTCTGGATAAAAGTGATGATTTGACGCTCATAAAAATATGTTAGTAGGAAAACTAAAGTTTCAATGCCGTTTCTCAGTACAAAACAGTAAAACCTTTAAGTTATGGATGGAGGTATGTCTAAATAAAACCTAAAATGTCACATACATTTTAGGTTTTATTTAGAAACCTAAAATATAAACCTAAAATAGAATATCATGAATGTCGCATGATATAAATTTTTTTCTGCAAGATAATTGCAAACATAAAGAGCAAAAGTGCACTACTTCATAATGGAGAGGCAAATGCTGCATCCTGTGGGGTCTCACCATGACTGTTTCCATGTTGATGGGTCTGCTTCCCTGACTTCTGTCCTCCCTTGTGTCCACCGTGACGACCGGAACGGTGTTTATCAAGGTCCAGGTCCAGAGGGGGGCCCATACCGTGGCTCTGCCCATTACTGAAGTTGTTCTTCCTCTTCTTTCTCTTGAACCAGCTGAAAGCTCGACCGAAGGAGCGAGTGCGCTTCTTTCGGCTTCTTCTGCTGTGTTTTTCCTGGGCAAATACTTGGATCACATCTTGGGGAAGCAGCTCCCCGACCCCCAGAGAATCACGATTTGACATGCCTCCTCACGATGGAGCTGCGTCCTGAAGGATAGATAAACATGGAATTGTTAAATATATATATATATATATATATATATATATATATATATATAAACAAAAATGTATGTATACATATACATAAACAAAAAGTTCTAATTTATTTTTAATCTCAACCACATTTTTTAAGTATTTTTTTTTTATACAAATCTGTCATGATTAAGATCAAGTTACTCAAAAGCTTGTTATCATTCATCAGTCCATTCAGGTGCAGTGTATCAGTTTGAAGATAATCTTAATCCAATAGATAATTGAGATGCATGTCTGAGGCAGTGCATGTCTCTGTGGGCAGTACTGCAGCCTGAACAGACCCCCACTCTTTCCTCTGAACCAAACTCCACCGTCCTGCAAACAACGAACTGGCACCGCTCCCTTCATTCCATAACACGGAGTCATGATTCACAAAGCCGCACCCGTAAGCTCATTGCACTTTTACACCCAGACGGGGAAAAGCTTTAAAAAAAAAAAAAAAAAAAGAAAGACAAACATCATCGAACAGTTTGCAGATAAGCATTCCTATTGAGGTCTGTATTAAGATTTCAGAGGATTTTCTGTTTCTTGCTTCACTGAACTGTCGTCGGGTGTTTTTTCACTACAAGTTCGGTGATCTCATCCAGCTCCCATTGCTTCCTTCCTCCACCCACCCCTTACCTTTTTATGTGCTCTCAGATGGATTTCCTAGCATTGCTTTGGGGGATCTTACACTTGGCTTCTCCAAGCTGTGCACTTTGTTTGACACTTGTCATCAAAATTACAGGCTAAATGAAGGAGCCAGGTCTAAAGATGGTAGAAATCGGCATTTGCAAAGCAACAGGTGGTGAAAGGTTGTGTCACAGTTATTAATTATAAGAGCTTATACAGGGGAAAAAAACACTTTCTAACTGATGTTTGTGAAATGTAACCAAACATATTGCAGTCTGTAGAATCACTTTGTCGCCACATGACGAGACATGACACCAAACCACAGAAACCTGGATCCTGTTCTCTGGATCAGTTCAGCATAGATGCAGAGCTGAGATAAATTTGATGAAGGCATATTGTATGAGTTTATTTGTATCCAGCTACGTCTTGTGGGTGAGCTCCCTCAATCCTCTGACCAGAAGTAAAACGTCTTAAATTCATCTCATATTGCAGCAGCTTAACTTGAAAAACATAAACAGGTTAGCCACTGCCAGGATGGGAAAGACGTTAAAACAAGTGGTTAAAGAAGTGGTGATCTACATAAGTCAAGCAATGAATATGAGAAAAAAACGATTTTTGATTAAATTTTCCCATATCAATAGTCAAGAATTTTTAAAAGCTTTAAAAACTGTAACTATGACAAACAAGGCTAGACAAACATCAATGTTTGTTTAAATACAGTCACTATGAAGATAGAAACCAATAAAAACATCTTCACAATCTTCAGCAAAAAGTCTACAACCTCTTTATGCCCGCTGAGCTGCATGGGAAGCGTGATGGTCCTACCAACAGAAACGTAAACATGTAGAGGTTTTCTTTGTCTAAGACCTTTTGCTTTGGTAAAATAAAAATTGAATGGGTATTTTTTAGCACAAAATACTATTTGGGTCTGGCCAAAAAGATATATATGTGAAAAGGCATTTCATGTTGCCCATTAGGTAAAGCAGAGGGGCTGTGATGCTGTGGGCCCATTTCTCTTCCAAAGGCCTTAAACTAGAGAGCAGTCACATGTTCTCACTGATAGACCAAGACATTTTAAATTAAAATCTGGTGAACTAAAATAAGTCGCCATCTGGTAATTCTGATGCATAATGATGAAAAGTAAATGGCAATATGCAAAAAATCTACTTCTTTCTAAGGCAAGCTCAGCCTTCAGATCAAATCAATAAATAAAAGTGAGTTGACCTGAAGAGAACAATAAAACAATAAAATAATTTTAGATCTTACACATAAAATGACTTTTTACATAAATTTTGCCATTAATATCTTCATCTGGATATCGTGTGTATATTCTCAGCAACAAGATCGTTACCTACTCGTACACAAACTCTTGCTTAATAAGATGAATACTTAATGTTGTTTACCTCACATTTTCCATTTTAAGGTTTTAATTTGTTTACATCTACTTGAAAAGCTCTGCATAAAACACAAATTTTAACGGGCATTTTTTAAACTAACTATCTGAGCTGATGAATCAAATTTGTGCCATCCTTGATATGTGGGTCAGGGGCTGCTCCAAAACCTTCCTATGGATGCACTCCTGATCAAATCTGAAATGATTTAATAAGCAAGAAGCATTTGCATTCCAATGAGTAACCCCACTAACAGCAAAATGACTCCATCTCCTCTGAGGAAAAGTAACTTGCCTCTTTTTCACTGCGTGTTTCTCCTGCTCTAAATTACAGTCATTTAGACATGACTAACATCCAGGCATCAGTATGTGCAACACTGGCCAATAATCAGACAGCTTTCTCAGGAAAAGACGGTCCAGTTTATTCTCTTATATCCCACAGGCGGCTGAAAGTCCAACAACGTCTTGTGTTACTAACACAGGAATGAGATCAAGGAGAACTCTGGGTTGTGGCAGAGACCACCCAGAGGACCCCTATCCGTATAGTCTGGTCTTGAAGAGTTGAGTCATGCTACCAATGTTGTGGTGACACAAAAATACCTGAAGAATCCAAGATTTTCAAACAAGTCTACCAGGGCGAGGCACCGAGTTTAGACTTCTAAAAATATCTTTTTTTGTGTGTGTGTGTGTGTGTTTTTTTTTTTTTTTTTTTTTTTTCAAATTAAATTAAAAAAGGGGTTTTAAATTTTTCAAAGTATTTTTTTTTATTTTA